ATAATCCAGTATTCAGGAAAGCACCTAACTGTCGTCTGACGTCATTGTCGTGACCGTCTGCTGCAGCCCTTAATGTAAATGAGCGAACGTGATCTGGTGGAAGTCGATTTAAATCTGTAAGGCACTTCGGCGAATCAGTTCTACATGAGTCGCGTGTATTAACGAAATCCTATTTCCAGCTGTGCATTCTCCTGTTCGCTGCGGCCGTCTTCGCTGTTGAAGAGAAGAAAAATGAAAAACGCGGTCTACTCGGGCTGGGTTACGGTCTGGGTGCGGCGCCCATCAGCCACGGGTACTACGGACACGGACTGGGCTTGTACGGTCACGGGATCGCGTCGGCGCCCATAGTCAGCCACGGGCTCGCGGCCGCTCCGATCGTCAGCCACGGGTATTATGGCGGCCACGGCCTCGGGCTGTACGACCAGTACGACCACGGTCTGGCGGCGCCCGTCATCAGTCACGGCATCTCATATGGAGCGCCACTAGGTTTGGGACATTACGGCATCGGACACGGCTGGCACTGAAGTAGACTGTAAGACAATAGGAACTCCGACCGTGTTATTTGCTGAATTGAAATAAAATAAACATCTTCTCTGCACAATTTTAGCGAATGATTCGGTTCGGTTACTTATCTAATGTATGTGTGAGTTGTAAAATTCTGGATTTTATTACGTTTTGATATTTTTAAATATAAAACAGAAACATTTAAATGCGGTGTTTTTTTGTCACACTTTTGTAATCACACAGCAGTCCTGTCTCGTGTAACCATTGAGTATCGACTACACTACTATTGCTTCTACAGTTCGCAGCTGTAGGTATTTGTAACGGAGAGAGTTTTGCCAGTGAAATTGCGTATTTAGTTTGTTTGTCAGATTTTTCGTGTTTTTCATCTGACTGTGATGAAAATTTTCATAATTATTCATGAAACTTTCTTTCACAACATCTTTTGTGACAAATAACTACATCACTTAGTACAGCGTTAGGTATAGTAACGTACCTTCACTCCCATTGGACTCAAAACGTCAAAATGCTATTCAAGTTTTTAAAGTAGATTAATGCATGTCTATTACTAGACTATTGACAGTTTTGGGAACGTTTGGCGTCAAACGAAGCATTCCCAGGCAATCTAAGGCTAGTAGGTCAGTGCCTCTAAATATTCAAAATATTAAAATGAATTCCTGTTCGTTAGTCTCGCTAAAACCCGAGAACGGCTGGACCGATTTGGCTAATTTTGGTCTTGAATTATTTGTGGAAGTCCAGAGAAGGTTCAAAAGGTAAAAGATAAATATGAAAATGCTCGGAATTAAATAAAAAATAACAATTTTGTTTTTCCTTTGATGTGTTCCCCGTCGGACGGATTCCTTTTGTTTGTTTTAAGTTTATTTTCTACAAATGTTTAGGTCTTTTATTTATCGATTAGGGCACAACGAATTCTGCCGGGTCAGCTAGTATTCAAATAAATAAGTAAAGCTTATTAGAGGACATTGAATTTCGCGTAACTTCATTAAATGGTTTCTCAATGAACCAAAACATTATGATTTCCGCTCAACAATTAAGTAAATTATGTACTCATTATAAATTTAAATCGCACGACAGTTGGATTTAAAGGAAATACATAATTATAGTAATCAGGATGTTGAGAAACAGCATTTCGATATAACCACATGTCTAGGAAACAAAAGTCATTATCGAATAGCGTAACGACATTTGACTAGACGTTGCTGTGGTCCCTCGGCACGTGACTATCTGCGGAGAGTATCCGATATCATAATGTCTTATTGTATAGGCAGAATTCATACTGCTCACGAATGCTCATGAGATTACATTACGTTAACCATAACGTAGCCTAACTGGGGGATCATCGATTACCCACTAATTAAAAAAGAGGTACAAAACTTAACATCCATAATTTCGTTTTATTCACCCGTCCCATCAGTACCGCACTGAACACCACCGTATGTGAAGCGATCCACGCCGCCGACGATAGATCGACTGAAGACTTTGAAGTCCCACAGAGGTCACGACCCTCAGCATTGAGGATTTACGACGGAAGGAGGAGAAGGAGAGTCATATTTTTTATTTTTTATTGCTTAGATGGGTGGAAGAGCTCACAGCCCACCTGGTGTTAAGTGGTTACTGGAGTCCATAGACATCTACAACGTAAATGCGCCACCCACCTTGAGATATAAGTTCTAAGGTCTCAGTATAGTTACAATGGCTGCCCTACCCTTCAAACCGAAACGCATTACTGCTTCACGGCAGAAATAGGCAAGATGGTGGTACCTACCCGTGCGGACTCACAAGAGGTTCAGTAAAAATGTAATTTAACTGAATGATCTGGAACTTACTATTCACTTAACTCACAATATTTGTTATATAATAATATGTAGGTATGTATAGATATAGCGAGAAAAGATTTACCTTCGTATTTTTTTGGAAAAGTTCGTATATATCGTGCTCTCTCAAATAGCTTCCGTACCCATCTTATCTTTATACATATGTAGCATTAGAGCCAAGTATCATATCGAATTGTATCTAAAACTGATAAGTTCGTAAACAGTCTCAAAAACGGTTAACTGAGATAAATATTAATGTCCGTGTTTTTTACATTTTTTTTTATTGCTTTGATGGGTGGACGAGCTCACAGCCCACCTGGTGTTAAGTGGTTAGTGCAGCCCATAGACATCTACAACGTAAATGCGCCACCCACCTTGAGATATAAGTTCTAAGGTTACATAATGATAGCTTAACTTAATTCCAAAGTAATTAGATGAGAATTAAAAAAAAATAGCAATTTCTTTCACAACAAAATCGCTCTCAGATAAATAATTGCTAAAAATATTTCATAAGGCGCTACTCTATAATTTTAATAAAAAAATGCTTATCAAGTACCTATGTATCGTGGATTTATAACGGATTTCCAATGTACATTAGTAGTATTCTTACCTATAAATTCAATATTAGGTAATTGTAAGCTTAGTGGTAAATGTGTATGAACACTAGCGTTAACGTAACGGTTAGATATGAGATATGAGAATGATTTTACAATATGATATTTGATTAAAGATACTTATAACTGTGTGACTTAAATATTATAATATTAAATAACTTAAAGTTACTTTCTTATTTCAATTTCCGCTTCTGAACTGTATCAGCCTTCACAGGAGTTGTCACTAAGTGCTAACTCATCACTGAGCAATTGAGTTTACTAGTGATCGCCCGGTAGTCGAAATTCGACTATAATTATTAATCGAAATTATAAATTTGAACAGTATTATGGTTCTATTTTCAAAGACTTTACTTCTATAATCATAGATTTCGCTAAGGCTACCCTGTAGACAAATAATATTAAAGAAATCAATATTAATATATTCTCAACTTGACCACTTTAACAATAAACAGAATAGTATAATATCCGTGTGTGTGTCAAATACATGTTAGTGTGTGTAATGTTTTCTTTATTTGGTTTAATGTATTTTTAGGTATTATTTAATATAAATATGTATAGACGACTTTAAATTGCTCTAGTTGGGTACGCGAGTTCACGGGCCATATGTTGATAAGTTGCGACCGGCGCCCATAGATATCATCAATAAGACTATCGCCATCTGCTGTGGGATATGAAGTCGTTTTTGTATATAGGCTGCCCCAGTCTTCAAGTCAGAACATATGAATACTTTACGAAGAGTGTACGAACCAGCGCGACTTACAATATGACCCGCGATCAACAATTACGCAAATTTATGAATGATGCGGTCTTTATTTTGTTACAGGACACTATTACATCATCGTGCAATCCGTTCGTAGGCATGTGCTAGCAGTGTATATACTTTGGTAGCTGTCTGCGGGATTCGAACATCGGCACGGTCGCATCGCCCGACACGAGTACACCGGGCGCCTTATCCTTCAGGCCACAACGACTCCTAGTTCCTACTATACGCACTCGCTTACTCCCTTTAAAGCCACTTCGACAAAGCGGCACGACACGAGAACCCTCTCATCGTGGCCGCTGGTAACTACATACCCGACCCTGCGGACAGAATGGAAAGCAGTCGACGTCGCCCCAAACACGTCATTTCGGATCCTCCCGATCCACTAACGGTGCTTCTAGGTACTTCAAGCACCGGTCACCGTTCTCATCGAACCCGTCGCTTGCGACGAAGGGCTCGACGAGCAAATTAACCCTCAGACACGCTCACGCAGCACGGCTCTTGCTAGGGTTCGTGTTAGCAACGTCGTCAGGTTTGAGCCCCGTGAGCTCACCTACTAGTTAAGGTTACGCTGGAATAGACTCTCAAGGCTACCAGCTTAGTTAGTAGGAAAAAAAAACCCTTTAAAGATCGACTAGGTTTTTAAGCCGGGAGACGTGGCGATTACTCGTGAGGCGCATAACATCTGCCCGCAGCAATGATTCTTAATGACGATCGCGACTGCTCTAACACAAACAAAAAGTGTACATGCACCCTTTCATCACATAATTAATTGAAAATTATGCAAAATAAACTAATAAATCGTCAACCTTTAAGGTCAAATTATGCAACCGAATCAAAAATACTGGACTTCATCAATATGTATCAAGTGACATCGTGGTTGCATCACCAATTTCCTAACAACGTCAGTTCGAGTTCTGGTCGTCATAGGTACCGGTGCCTCTAGGGCCAATTTTACGCAACATGCACCGCATTATGGCCCTTAAACGTATAAATGTCAACGCTAAACGTTTAGGAGCATCACAAGTTTACCGAAACCAGCAGACATTCAACCAGAATCGGTGAAAATGAAGTCTTTCGTGAGTAATATCAGTTTTTGAAAATTTGGGGTTTGCGACGTTGATTTAGGGGTTTTATTTTGTCAGGGAGTGCGATGTGTACCCTACTTTGCTTTAAAAGCTTAAGTGAGGGTAGTTTAAAGTAAAATTAGCACGTTAATTTAAGGGTATACGGTTTATTATTGACCACGGTCGTGTTCCAGGTTTGCGTTCTCTTCGTTGTAGCAACGGCATGCGCAGCTCCGTCAGAGACCAGGGACAAGCGTGGCATCTTCGGCGAGCCCGGCGGCCTCTTGACTCCTCATCTCCACCACGACTTGCATCACGACCTGCACCATAACTTCCACCACGACCTGCACCACGATTTCCACCACGANGTATACGGTTTATTATTGACCACGGTCGTGTTCCAGGTTTGCGTTCTCTTCGTTGTAGCAACGGCATGCGCAGCTCCGTCAGAGACCAGGGACAAGCGTGGCATCTTCGGCGAGCCCGGCGGCCTCTTGACTCCTCATCTCCACCACGACTTGCATCACGACCTGCACCATAACTTCCACCACGACCTGCACCACGATTTCCACCACGACTTGCACCACGATTTTCATCATGACTTACATCACCACGACCTACACCACCACGGGCACTTGCACGCTCCCATCATTCACGACCACTTCGACCATGCTCACATCCACACCCCAATCATACACGAGCCCCTGCTTCCTAGCACCACCATCATTAAGTCTTCAAGGCTGATCCACCCAGTGAAGCATATAATCAAACACTATAATTACGGTGGATGGTAGTAACGACCTTGTAAACATCTTCTATACCAAATTCTATTAAACAGTTCGGTTTTTTAAAATTTATTGTTTTCATTTAAATTCTTCTGCATTCCACTTACGAGTGACCCACGAGTCCTCCTGTGTTAAGTGGTTATCGGGGCTGCAATCCATTTCCAGACATGAGGCCTAATATATCTAGCAACCCACGAACCGGGACGCATCCCTGCTTTCCGGCAGAAACAGACAGGGCGGGATCCCACCAGACCGCCAGTAGTTCACGACTGTTACGATTATCAGCACTGTATCTTAGGTGTACCTGATCGATGTGATTTATACGGGGGGCTGATTCTAATGTTTCTATGTCCTTTTTTAATTATTTTTTATTGCTTAAATGGGTGGACGAGCACACGGCCCGCCTGGTGTTAAATGGTCACCGAAGCCCACAGACATTTACCACGTAAATACCGCCACCTCAGTCTCAGTTTTAACAGTACAACGGAGGCTCGTTTAACTGAACGCTCTATCGAGGCGGACCAGTACGGACACGCGATGAAGAAGTCAAAATAACTCAACGAATAAAGAACAGAGATCATCATTAAACCATACTCCTTGCCCTGAGATTTCAGGCCAGGCCACTGAAACAACATCAGGAATGACTTAAAATCTCAAATTTTCGGAACGCACCAGTTATTACGCCTACTTAACGGTGAGTGATCACCAATGCTCGTACACATCAGCTAAAACAGGGGCGTAGCTATTCCGCTACATACAGATTTGAACTTTCATAAATCCTTGAATGAAGGTCTTATCATAATGCTTAGGAAAAATTGTGGAGGAAGAGGGAAGGAGATAATTCCATAGCCGGATAACATGTGGCAAAAATGATATCTGGAAGCGTCTGATAAGGTGAGGTTCGTTTGGTAGATAATAAGTTTATAAGGTCACTGGTCCACAATAGTTAACCTCACAAATCTTCATTACGCAACTATTGAAATTCGATAACCTCGATATAAATATGGAAATTAACCTAATGGTCTAAGTGATGACAACGACGCGTTGCGAAACAATTTTGCCTTCGACGTGTTGGTACTGGCCACGGAAGCGTTTAGTGCTCCTTTTTTTTGCTTAGATGTGTGGACGAGATCTCAGTGTTAAGTGGTTACTGGAGCCCATAGACATCTACAACGTAAATGCCTCAACCCACCTGGAGATAGAAGTTCTAAGATCTCAGTATAGTTACAACGGCTGCCCCACCCTTCAAACCGAAACGCATTACTGCTTCACGGCAGAAATAGTCGGGGCGGTGGTACCTACCCGTGCGGACTCACAATAGGTCCTACCACCAGTAAACCACCTCCTGCCTACAGAATATCTTTATTCCGGCGATTCAGGTGCCGGCCTGATTATGAGCTTCTTTATTGTTGAGAATAGAGACGGGACAGGAAATAACATAACATTTATTTTTCATTCCACCCAACAAAACGAATGGATCTATCACATCTGTACTAATATATAAATCTAGTTGTTTTTACGGATGTTCCGTTACAACTACTGAACCACGCATCCGATTGACTTGAAACTTGGTGTCCATGTAGAAAATACATGTACTTAATGGATAGGCTAATATTTATATGAGTGTTGGAGTCCCTACACCAGTTGCGGGGGCTGTAATGATGAGAATCTTTGTGGAGGTGAGAAATAATAATGTTAATTTTAAATGCCCAGCGAAGCGGACGAGTACAGCTAGTTGTTTCATAAAATATCGAGATTTCTAATGTTCAATACAACAGGCAGCAATCATACAGTGTACAAACGAACACCTAATCACAAATATTACTTTTTTTAGTTACGAAATAGTCTCCTTGCAAATATTGTAATTTTTTAAATGGTTTTTGCAATATTCTTGTGAATAATCGTTAAGCTATTAAAGTTATTTAATTAAATGTCAAAATGCAAAAGATTTTATGATTTCTGAAATATGTGAGTAGGGCTCGTTGTGAGCACGCGGAGGTATCCACCACCACCATTTTGGTAACTTTTTTTTTATTGCTTAAATGGGTCGACGAGCTCACGGCCCACCTGGTGTTATACGGTTACTGGAGCCCATAGACATCTACGACGTAATTGCGCCACCTCCCTTGAGATAAGAGTTCTAAGGTCTCAGTATAGTTACAACAGTTGCCTCACCCTTCAAACCGAAACGCATTACTGCTTCACGGCAGAAACAGGTAGGGTGGTGGTACCTACCCGTGCGAACTCACAAGAGGTCCTACCACCAGTAATTACGCAAATTATAATTTTGCGGGTTTGGTTTTTATTACACGATGTTATTCCTTCACCGTGGAAGTCAATCGTGAACATTTGTTTAGTACGTAGGTATTTGATTAGGAAAATTGGTACCCGCCTGCGGGATTAGAACACCGGTGCATCGTCTTATCCTTTAGGTCACGACGACATCATAAAAGTATACATGAAGCCTAATAATACTTTAGTGGTATACACCGAGCCTAATAATAAGTTACTGCTATTACGGTCGGTAACCAGGTCGGTAACCAGATCGGTCGCAGGCCTGAGGCCGACCCTCTGACGAATTACATCAGGACTGACGTAACCCAACACAAACTATGAACAGGAAGTAAACGCTTAACTATAATTTTCTGTGCTTTTCGAAATATTTATATAACGTCACGCGGTAGGTGGCAGCACGCTCACAATGGACATAGACTCCGATGACTGCTTAATATCGCACGGGCAGGGTGCCAAGAAAACACAAGAATTATACAGATTAGGCATATTATTGTAGGCAGCGGCTTGGCTCTGCCCCTGGCATTGCTGAAGTCCATGGGCGACGGTAACCACTCACCATCAGGTGGGCCGTACGCTCGTCTGCCTACATGGGCAATAAAAAAAAAAGAATAAATAACTTATCATTTGGAATATCACTGGTGGTAGGACCTCTTGTGAGTCCGCACGGGTAGGTACCACCACCCCGCCTATTTCTGCCGTGAAGCAGTAATGTGATTAAATGGTGGGACAGCCATTGTAACTATACTTGAGACCTTAGAACTTATATCTCAAGGTAGGTGGCGCCTTTACGTTGTAGATGTCTATGGGCTCCAGTAACCACTTAACGCCAGGTGGGCTGTGAGCTCATCCAGCCATCTAAGGAATAAATAAAAAAAGAATATTGTGTATTCAATAAATAAGTGGCACAGGTAGCCGCCGGTAACTACATACCCGATCCTGTGGACCGAATGGTAAACAATCGATGTCGCCCTAAGCACGTTAATTTAGATCCTCCCGATCCACTAACTGTGCTTTTAGGTACCTCAAGCACCGATCACCGCTCTGGTCGAACTCGGGACGTCGGGACGAAGGGTGCGGCGAGTAATTTAACTCACAGACACGGTCCACTGAGTTTCTCGCCGGATCTTCTCAGTGGGTCGCGTTTCCGATCCGGTGCTAGATTCTGCGAAGCACTGCCATTGCTAGTTAGGGTTAGTGTTAATAATGTCATCAGATTTAAGCCCCGTGAGCTCACCTACTTGTTAGGTTACGCTAACGTAGCCTCTCAAGGTTAGGTATCAGATTAGGTAGGAAAAAGGCACAGGCTAGTCGAATCTATACTAATATATAAATCTACAGTGGTTTTTACGGATGTTCCGTTATAACTACTGAACCATGCATCCGATTGATTTGAAACTTAGTTATCCATGTAGAAAATACATGTGCTTAATGGACAGGCTAATATTTATATGAGTGTTGGACTCCCTACACCAGTTGCGGGGGCGTTAATGATGAGAATCTTTGTGGGGGTGAGAAATAATTATGTTAATTTCAAATGCCCAGCGAAGCGGACGGGTACAGCTAGTACTCCATAATGTCTAAATTGAACGCTAGTTCTGATAGGTAGTAAGCTGGCCTCAGACATAAATGTGGGCTGCGTGCGACGGTGATCTTCTACGGATGAGGCTGACCGCAAGCCCTGCCTGTCTTCGATGACAATCAAGCTACTTGGAATGATATCAACAACCCGCGAAAACGTTCAGTATTCTGAACTAAAATATTATTTATCCTAACCGCCATATTATAACTACGCGTACAAGGTATCGCGCACAAACCAACAGCATACTAGTGGATTCCCGTGATCTCACATCTGCAACTACTTCCATAACGATGCCTCCAATGAACACTACTCTAACTCAAAATTTGGAAATTTTTGTTTTTCACGCAAATCGCCTCACTATTTTAAAAGTATTACAATTAATCATTATTGATGGGGTTCGAAGCAAGAGTAAATCAGCTAGTTACACAAAAAAACTATAAATATATCTGCAATAATAAAGATTTTATAAACTTTTTTCGTTTAAACGCTCCTCCTGTAAATCTACGAATTTGGAGTTAGCGTAGTGTTCATTGGAGGATGAAACAAGTGCTAATTTTACAGTTAAACAGTATATATCGCGATTCGCTTCATTAATTAATTATACATTGGACAACCAATAAACACGGAATCCGTATTTATAATATCAAAACAATTATTGGTTATTATTTTAATAGGTACCTACGGACTCAAAGATCAACGAACATTACTGTCTGTTTTATTGATGTTTATAGCCGGTGAGTCGTAATTGAACTAATTCCTGCGCGTATCTCGTTGATTCCAATGAGCAGGAGCTATTGACGACGTTTAGCATTATATTTATACTTCACTAGCGGCCCGCTCCGGCTCCGCTCGGGTCTTTAACAAAAATTTCAACGATATTTGACGTTGTTTTATATTTTTAAATAAAAGAACACTTATTGCGGCATAACTATAATAGTTAGACATATGCTGTCGCGGCACTTTTTGTAAATAGTAATGTGTTCTACAAAGTCGTAGAGCATTATTTTATTCTATCATCAATAGTTTTCGCAGGGCACGCGATGTGAAGAATATTTTAGGTAATTTTATTACACCTTGGGTTACATTTTTTGGGTTTTAGTAAGGATCCCAATTTTTTTTCAAAAAAGATTATAGT